GGCGGCGCGACTGTGGGGGTGTCCGGGGCGGGACACGGGGACCGGGGCGGGATACAGCCCCCCGGGGTGAGGACCGGGCCGCGGGACGTGCTGGGCAAGGCAGGGCCCAGCCCCGTGGGCTCCCCCCGGCACTGCGGGGGTCCTGACCTGTCTGGACGGTTTGGGGGCTCACCGCTCCGAGGGTGAGGTGCCGGGTGCGTTCCCACGGGGTGCTTTGGGGAAGGGGTTACCAACGGCTTTGAAGTTCATCTGTCGGTCCATGGCTCTCGCCCAGGTGAGTGCGGTCCTGGCGGCACGGTTTATTTTCGAAGCTGGCTGGTTCACTCTGGATGAGCGTTTCCACCGGGGCTGGATGTGAACACGATGTGGTTTCAGTGATTCACTCCTACCCAGAGCCCTTTGTGCTTTAGTTTGAGGAACACTTTAATGTGGCAAATTCTGCACCACCCGCTAACGGGGCACCTTCCCTGCCGCCCGCCCAGGGCATGTCCCTGCACATCCCGGTGTCGGCGCTGGCGTCTGTGCCCTTGTAATGGTCTGGAGTGGGGGCCTAATTGGGGATACTGGTCTGGCTTGGAGGTAACTTGGTGGAAAGGTGGGGAGAGGTGGGAGCGCACGTGGGGGAGCGGGTGGGAGGGTTTGTGTTGGATGCGAGAGCCAGGGCTGTGCCAGCGAGCCCGGGCACGATGAGCTGCGCCTTGACTCATTTATTCCATGGGGTGAGGAAGTCTGAAAAACAAAAACCCGAATAGCTAACAAGTCAAATAAAACCCCATTGACAGCACCTTTCCTGGCAGTGGCTGTGCCCATGGGAGCACCCAGGCTGACGGCACCAGCCAGCGAGCCTGTCGTTTCCAACGCGAGCCTCCTGCCCCAGTCGCTGGTGGCAGCACCGGCTCCCGGCCCCACCTGCCCTTTCCACTTGTCCCCTCGCTTCTGCCCCGCATCTCCCCGGGCTCCGGCCCTGCGAGCACCCCCGGGGCTGCCTGCCACCTGTCCGAGTCCCGCGGCCGAGTCCCCAGCCGCTTCCTACGGGAAAGTGTCCTGTGCCGGTGGCTCCCTGGCTCTGCCCTGGCCTCCAGCCACATGTGACAGCCCGTGCCGTATTTGGGCTTTTCCCTAAAGCTGTGCTTGTCCTGGGGGTGGGATTCCCAGCACAGCTGAGGAGTTAGGTGCTCTGTCCCCATGCACAGCCCGCGGGGCTGGCGTGCTTGGCAATCCCCTCTTCTCTGTTGCCCAAGGGCAAATGGGCCATGCGAGGGCCCGTGTTTGCCTGGGGTCAGGGCGTGGGACCTGCGGGCTTTGGCAGGTGCTTGTGGAATTTCTTGCAGAGAGGGCCATGGCAGGAAAGTCAGCAAGGAGGAGAAACCGTCTCAGCTCTGTGGCTCACTCTGCGTCTTCCAGGGCTGCACCGTCCCTGCTGGGTGTCACCCGGGGCGGTGGGGAGCAGGGGACTGCTGCCCAAGGCCCCCCTCACTGCAGCAGGATTTTGGGGCTGTTTGCAGCCCTCGTCCCCTGTGTCTGCGGGAGCATTGTGTGTCCCCGCCGTGGGGCTGCCATGGGCGGCTGTGGGACATGCTGCCTAATTAGAAGCACGTTATCCAGCAGAGATCCCTGCCCACCCCGGCAGGGCCCAGCCTGCCATTATGGCTTGCTGTACAAAGCTGCAGCCCGGCAGAAAATGATACGTTTTCCGGCTGCTTTTTCTGTCCCAGGACCCACAGGGAGGGCTGAGTTCCCCAGAGGCAGGAGCTGGGCCGAGCCTTAATGCTGATGTGTTTCACGGGTGTGTTTTCGTGGAAAGTGGGGCTGGGGGACAACCCGGGGTCACTCACCTGTCTGCCCTGCCTGTCCGTGCCCCTGCCAGCGCTGCCTGCCCGGAGGGACCTGGTGGGCAGGGCACTGCGGTGCCTGTGGCATGGTGCAATGCTTTGCTCTCCACGCTGGTAGCACAACTCTCCTGCAGTCCCATGTCCCCCTGGGCAACCTAAACCCGTAATTTCTTGTCCTAACCGCTGCTCCTGTCCTCCCATGGGCTGCGGCCCCCCCTGTGCCATGTCCGTCCCTCTCCCAGTGCCCAGCGTGGCCATGCTGGCACTGTGGGTGCCCAGGGTCAGGTCCCACCAAGCCCCCCGAGGCTGCGGGAGCTGTGGGGCATTGGGAACCAGCCCCAGTTCTGCTCCCAGTCACACTCCCAGCTCTGCTGTGGTGGCAGCTCCCCGCTTCCCTGGGCGCGGGGTGTATCCCAGGAATGTTTTCTTTCCTTGGGCAGCAGATCAGAGTGCACAGGGTCTGCTCTGTGCCCTGTCCTGGGCTGCACCCAAGCTGACCACAGTAGGGAGAGGCAGCGGGGCCAGGCTCGACCTCACCCATTACGGCTGCGCTTTGAATCTGGCAGCACAGCAGCTGGTGGGGCCTCTACAGACGTGAGGGGTCCCCACGGCCAGGTAGGTGGGCGGCGAGGAGAGCCAGGGCAGGACAGGAGACCCTGGGCTGCGGGGGGTCCTGCTGGCCCCAACCACTGCTGGGGTCGGCGTGGGACCTGCTCCCGCACGGGGGCACGGTGCCCCGTGGGAGAGTATGGGGAGGGACAGGGGTTATTTGGGGATGACACTGGGTTTTCTTCTGCCAGGTCTCCTGCTCTCGTGGAAGGAGCTGGGGGTCACAGCTGCCCAGGCAGGCAGCTCTCACCCATCCCTCCGGCCAGGGAGCATGGCAGACGCTGAAGACCCCCCACGTGCCGTTGGTGGTGATGCCGGGGAGGGCCTGGGGGATGATGGGTCCCTCCAGAATGACTCCTTCCCACTCTCCTCGCTGGCCAACCTGTTCGAGAGCGAGGATACCCTGTCCCCTGCTGAGGTGGCCCGGGGCCCCCCCGGTGCTGGGGATGGAAAGCAAAACCTCCGCATGAAATTCCACGGGGCCTTCCGGAAAGGCGCCCCAAAGCCCATGGAGCTGCTGGAGGCCACCATCTACGAGTCGGCCGTGGTCCCTGCGCCCAAGAAAGCCCCCATGGACTCCCTCTTCGACTACGGCACCTACCGCCACCACCCCAGCGAGAACAAGCGCTGGCGCAGGAGGGTTGTGGAGTGAGTACGGGGATGCCCATGCACCCTGGTGCCGGTGCGGAGTGATGGGCTGGGGGGCACCCTGGGTGCAGCACGGTGGATATGGGGATGCCCGGCAGCTGGGGATGGGGACAGCCTCCCATGGCTCCTCGAGTGGCACTTTGGGGTGCTTTGGTCAGGGGGTGCCACGCAGAGGGAGCAGCTCCCAGCCAGTGGCAGTGGCAGTGCCGGGCTATGCCATGCCATGCCGCACCATGCCATGATGTGGGTCTGCAGCCCCGCGGTGCTGTGGGGCCAGGAGCGCAGCTCCCCTTCCCCCTTGCCGGCACCGTGAAAGAGGCTCTGTGCACCCAGCCGCTCCCCTGGCCGGTGCGGACGTCTGGCTCCCCGGCATGAAAGGGCTTTTCAGGAGGGCCTCCGCCCTCCCCGCGCCAGGAAACCGGAGCCGGGGGGGCAGCCCACGGCCGGGCGTACAATGCCCCTCTGTGCCGGGCACCTGGGGCGGCCATCGTGGCCCCCCGCCACTGTCCCCACCCCAGAGGTGCAGCCTGGCTCCGGGCAGTGGGGTGCCCCCGTGCCCCGGCGGGAGCTCGGTCCCCTGGGTGGGCAGGGATGCAGGCGGGTGGAGGGGGCTGGGATGCCCTGCGTACCCCCAGCCCTGGAGATCCCTGGCTGGGGCAGCCACTGTCCCTCCTCCCCCCATTCCCGGTGCCCGGAGCCGGCCGGTTGTCCCCAGCCCATCCCACTGCCGCCGACTGCTCCAACCAGTCTGGCTTCTCCTGCGGCGCTGGAGCATGGCCGAACCCGTGGCCTGTCCCTGCTGGGGGGCCTGGCTGGGGTCCAGAATGCTGCAGCACCCGGATGGGAGCTGGCAAGGCGCCCACCAGCCCCCGTGGGCGATACTGGGAGGTTGGATGCTGGGAGCACTGGGCTGCTGTGGGTGGGGAGGCTGCCCCAGCCCCAGTGGGTGCCCCCAGCTGGGGCGGCCCCCGTGCCTTTCGCTGGCAGCTGAGCAGCCTCGAGCTCATTGCACGGGTGGGAAACTGAGGCAGCGGCTCCGGTCCCCAGCGCTGGCCCTTCTCCCACAGGAAGCAGGCACCAGGCGCAAAGGGGCCGGCTCCCAACCCGCCCCCTGTCCTCAAGGTCTTCAACAGACCCATCCTCTTCGACATCGTCTCCCGGGGGTCCCCAGCTGGCCTGGATGGGCTCCTCTCCTTCCTCCTCACCCACAAGAAGCGCCTCACAGATGAGGAGTTTCGAGGTGAGCACCTGGGGCTGGCCTTGCCCTGGGACTTCCGTGGTACTGGGGCTGTGCTGGGCCACCGGTGGTCCCCTTGTCCCCATGGGGATGGTGATGCACAACCCCGTCACAGGGGGCTGTGGCATGCGGCGCCCGGGAGGAGCTGGGGATTTGGCCAGAGAGTGCAGGGGTGCGGGGCTGGGCACCCCCATAGCTTGGGAGGCTTGCCCCAGCCCCCCCTCAGCACCCTCTGCTCCCAGAGCCCTCCACGGGGAAGACCTGCCTGCCCAAGGCCCTGCTCAACCTGAGTGGGGGCAGGAACGACACCATCCCCCTTCTCCTCGACATCGCTGAGAAGACCGGCAACATGCGGGAGTTCATCAACTCGCCCTTCAGGGATGTCTACTACCGAGGTAGGGGGGCATGGGGCTGCTGCCAGCCCTGCCTGGGCATGGGGGACCCCGGGGAGGTTCGGGGACTGGAGCAGTAGGGACCCTGAAGAGGATGGAGGATGCTGGAGGGCTTGGGGATCAGAGCAGCGAGGACCCTGGGGAGGCTGGGGGGCTCTGGAGGGGCTTAGGGACTGGAGCAGCAGGTACCCCGGGAAGGCTGGGGACCCGGGGGAAGTTGCGGGGTGAGGTGGGGGCTGACCGGCACTGGTGGCACAGGTCAGACAGCCCTGCACATTGCCATTGAGCGCCGCTGCAAGCACTATGTGGAGCTGCTGGTGGAGAAGGGAGCAGACGTGCACGCCCAGGCCCGCGGCCGCTTCTTCCAGCCTAAGGACGAGGGTGGCTACTTCTACTTCGGTGAGAAGGGAGGGAACCGGCAGGTCGCCCAGAGGGACCAGCTGCACCCTGGGGATGCCCCTGCGGCAGGGCGAGGGCGACGGGCATCTCAATGGCACGCTGTCCCCGCAGGCGAGCTGCCCCTCTCGCTGGCCGCCTGCACCAACCAGCCCCACATCGTGCACTACCTGACGGAGAACGGGCACAAGCAGGCGGACCTGCGACGCCAGGACTCCCGCGGCAACACCGTGCTGCACGCCCTGGTTGCCATCGCCGACAACACCCGCGAGAACACCAAGTTTGTCACCAAGATGTATGACCTGCTCCTCGTCAAGTGCGCCAAGCTCTTCCCTGACACCAACCTGGAGGCGCTGCTCAACAACGATGGCCTCTCTCCCCTCATGATGGCTGCCAAGACTGGCAAGATCGGGGTACAGTGACCCCCCCGGAGCCGGGAGCCATCTGCCCCGCTGTCCCTGGCTGCAAGGGCTGAGCCCCTGTCAGCTCTCGGCTAAGTCCTTTCGCACTTAGTGCATGTCCCTGCCGGCAGCAAGCAGCATGGCTTCTCTCTGCAGATGATGCTGGAAACCTGCACGTGCAGCCTATTAACCTGGCTAATTAACCTTTCCCTAATTAACCCCAGGCTCTCCGCACATCCCATCCTTTCCCCTGACTTGCCCTTGTCCTCCAGCGGTGCGGGCAGGGGGGGTCATTAAAAATGCAAAAGCTGCAGCATCCTGGGGGGCTGCCTGCTGTGATGGTGTCCCTCCATCCCGGGAGCACCTTTCCCTCCACCCCGGGAGCACCTTGGGCCCCTCCTGGGGTCCAGGGGGTGGGTTGGGGTGCTGAGCAGTGGGAGGGGATGTGCCTGGGGTGGGGTGGGAGGAGAGCGGGGTGCCCCAAGCAGGCGGGGGCCGGGTGCAGGTCTGCCTGTGGGCGAGCGGTCCTCCCTCCGGCAGATCTTCCAGCACATCATCCGGCGGGAGATCACAGACGAAGATGCCCGGCACCTCTCGCGGAAGTTCAAGGACTGGGCATACGGCCCCGTCTACTCCTCCCTCTATGACCTCTCCTCGCTGGACACCTGCGGGGAGGAGATGTCTGTGCTGGAGATCCTTGTCTACAACAGCAAGATCGAGGTGCGCAGGGGCTGGGGGGGACCGGGTGGGCCACAGGGCTGTGTCCCCACTGACGGCACCTGTATCCCACCAGAACCGCCATGAGATGTTGGCCGTGGAGCCCATCAACGAGCTGCTGCGCGACAAGTGGCGCAAGTTCGGGGCCGTCTCCTTCTACATCAGCGTGGTCTCCTACCTCTGTGCCATGGTCATCTTCACCCTCGTCGCCTACTACCGCCCCATGGAAGGCCCCGTGAGTCCCACGGCACCGTGGCACAGCCCCATGGGCCAGCGCCTCCTGGCAGGGGGGTTTGCCGGGTCTCTGCCCCAAGCAGCCCTGCCTGCCCTGGGATGGTGGAGCAGCTCAGCTCTGTCCTTTCCCCGCAGCCCCCCTACCCGTACATCACCACCGCTGACTACCTGCGCCTGGCTGGGGAGATCATCACCCTTCTCACTGGCATCCTCTTCTTCTTCACAAACGTCAGTGCAGCGAGGCGGGGGGTCCTCCCATGGGACAGACGAGCCCTCATGATCTCCATGCAAGGAGCAACTCGAGGGCGACAGCCCCATGTCCTGAGGCATCAGCCCCTGCCACGATGCCCCCCGGACACCGAGTCCCTGCCGCACAGGGGCTTGCTCCCCCCAGCTCCCCCCAACCTCTCCCTCTCTCCCCCAGATCAAAGATCTGTTCATGAAGAAGTGCCCAGGCGTGAACTCCTTCTTCATAGACGGCTCCTTCCAGCTGCTCTAGTACGTGGGGAACCCCCGGGGCCTCCCCGAGCCACAGCATCCCCAGGCTTGCAAGGGGCAGTAGCCGGCGGTGGCTGTCCGTGCAGGGTCTGACGCCAGCTCTCCTCCAGCTTCATCTACTCGGTGCTGGTGATCGTCACGGCGGGGCTGTACCTGGGCGGCATCGAGGCGTACCTGGCCGTCATGGTCTTCGCGCTGGTCCTGGGCTGGATGAACGCACTGTACTTCACCCGGGGGCTCAAGCTGACGGGGACCTACAGCATCATGATCCAGAAGGTCCAGTGGGGTCAGGGGTCTTCTTCCCCAGCAGGGCCGGTCCTCCTATGGATGTGTGACCCAAAAGGAGGATCCCCCATGCTTTCTTTAGGGTTTCTTGTGGCTCACCAATGCCCTGTTCTCAGCCTGGCCGTCCATGCGGCATGGCTCAGCGATGGTGCCCCGGCACATGGCCGGGCACTGCGGTCCAGCACATCTCACCCCCCTCTCCATCACTTGCAGATCCTCTTCAAAGACCTTTTCCGCTTCCTCCTGGTCTACTTGCTCTTCATGATCGGCTACGCATCAGGTAGGTGCCTGGCCGGTGAGCTGGGGCTTGGGGGGAGGATGAGCCCTGTGGCATGGCATGGCACGGCCGGGCAGGGGGCTGTGGACCCCCTGCTCCGTCCTACCTGCCTGTGGGCTCAGCCTTTGCCTCCCCCTGTGGTGGAGAGGGAGAGGGGCTCAGCCGGTGCAGAGCCACATGGGGGCCCGTTATGGGCCCCATCCTTGCCGCTGCCCCCGTGGACTCGCCACCCCTGTCCTTCCTCCCCCAGCTCTGGTGTCCCTCCTCAACCCATGTCCCAGCAGTGAGTCCTGCAGCGAGGAGAAGTCCAACTGCACGGTGCCCACTTACCCTTCCTGCCGGGACAGCCAGACCTTCAGCACCTTCCTGCTCGACCTCTTCAAGCTCACCATCGGCATGGGCGACCTGGAGATGCTTGAGAGTGCCAAGTACCCAGTCGTCTTCATCATCCTCCTTGTCACCTACATCATCCTCACCTTTGTGCTCCTCCTCAACATGCTCATCGCTCTCATGGGTGAGACTGTGGGCCAAGTCTCCAAGGAGAGCAAGCACATCTGGAAGTTGCAGGTACCACCCTGGGAGCTGCACTGCAGCACCCCAAGCTCCATCAAAGCAGCACCACCTGGGTGAGGGACCCCCATGCCTCCATCCCCAAGTGGCTGAGGGGTCCCTGGTGTCACTGGCAGTGGGCCACCACCATCCTGGACATCGAGCGCTCCTTCCCTATGTTCCTGCGGAGAGCCTTCCGCTCGGGGGAGATGGTCACCGTGGGGAAGGGCACTGATGGGACGCCTGACCGCCGCTGGTGCTTCAGGTAAAGGCAGGTGCCCTTGGGAGCCAGGGACCGGGAGCAGCCAAGCCTCTCCTCCTGCAGCAAGCAGCATTTCGGGGTGCCGGCACCGTGCACTCGTTTGCTGGGTAGTTTGTACTAATCTGGAGCCAAGTGGCATTGCCGATGGTGGGATAGCGCAGGGACGCAGGAGCTGCCGCCTTGGCTCCCAGCCACTCTGTGCAGCCCCTCTGGGTCTGACCTTCCCTGCAGGGTGGACGAGGTGAACTGGTCCCACTGGAACCAGAATCTGGGCATCATCAGCGAGGACCCGGGCAAGAGCGACACATACCAGTACTATGGCTTCTCCCACACCATGGGCAGGCTGCGGAGAGGTGAGCGTGGTGCCGTGGGCTGGGAGCATCCCTTGGGACACAGCTTGCAGCCTCTGATGAGCCCCAGGAGCAGATTTGCTTTGGGGGCCAGGTGGCACGGAGCTGATTGGCAAGGGGGGACCGGCTGCAGCCTCCTGGCTCTGACAAACTCCCGCCGTCTCCACAGATCGCTGGTCGACGGTGGTGCCGCGTGTGGTGGAGCTCAACAAGAGCTGCCAGCCAGAGGAAGTGGTGGTGCCGCTGGGGACCGTAGGGACGGTGGAGGCACGGGAGCGGCGGCACGGCCAGGCCTCGAGCTCCCCGCTCTAGCACAGTGGCCCTGGGAGCTGACAGACTCTGCCCAGGCCCCCAGCACGGCCCCGGCACAGCCATCGGAATTGTGGACTGGGCTGGACGGTGCTTGTCTGCTCCTCAGGGATTCGTACAGCCTCCGTCCCTCCAGCAGCCGCTGTCCTGGTAGGTGTCCAGCCTGGACAGGGGGTCCTGGCCCTGCCCCGGCAGTGCTGGGGGTCTCCAGCTCGCACAGGCGAGCCTCAGTGCTGCCGCTTCGCTTTGCTGAGCTGGGGCCATCGGCGGTGCCATGCCAGGAACCTCTGCCGTGGGCGGGGTGTGGGGAACGCGGCCCCCTCCGCCCACCAAGGCCAATGGTTTTTGCCACATGTTTTTTGCACAAGATTTATACGACTATTTATTTAGTAATAAAGACTGACCTGCCACTGCCGCCTCCTCCTGGTTTTGACTGATTGCAGCTGGGAGAGCATTGACGCAGGCAGGTCTCCGGGAGGAAGGCAGGAGCCTGCTGCTCCCTGCGCTGTGCCGTGCCGTGCCGTCACGCGGCAGATGGCCACCCAACACGCTGAGCTCACGCTCCTCCACAGACAGCCCCTCTCGTGGTGCCCTGTGCTGCCTGGAGCTTGCTGCCAGCCTGGCAGGGCACCGTGATGGTACGGAGCAGGCAGAAGCCCACAGGACATGGGGCAGAGCACCCTGTGCCTGCCGAGATGGGCAGGGCTGCACGGAGCAGCGGGTGGGGGTCGTGGCTGGCTGCAGCACCCAGCATTGCCCTCCCAGCCTTGCCTGCTTTGCCCGGGACATGGCGGACCCTGGCAGCCCTGCGCTCATCCCGTGGTGCATGGCCGGCAGTGCATGGCTGCCACTGCACAGCTATGGTACACGGGTAAGGTGCATGGCTGCAGGGCACAGCTATGCTAGATGGCTGCGATGCTTGGCTGCAGTGCACGGCTATGGAACATGGCTGCGGTGCACAGCTATGGTGCACGGCTGCGGTGCACAGCTATGGTGCACGGCTGCGGTGCACAGCTATGGTGCACGGCTGCGGTGCATGGCTGCGGTGCATGGCTATGGTGCATGGCTATGGTGCACGACTATGGTGCACGGCTGCGGTGCACAGCTGCGGTGCATGGCTATGGTGCACGACTATGGTGCACGGCTATGGTGCACGGCTGCGGTACACGACTATGGTGCACAGCTACGGTGCACGGCTGTGGCGCATGGCTGAAGGGTACGGCTGCGGTGCCCGGCTATGGTGCATGGCTGCGGTGCACAGCTATGGTGCACGGCTGCGGTGCATGGCTGGGGGGGAAAGCTGA